TGCTGAAGTAGTTCTCTCACTTTTCTGTCATTTATTCCTTTCCATTAAGACAGTTTTCAGGGAGCAGTTTGAAAATCAATCAGACAAGTTCAAGGACAGAAATCAGCTGATCAAGATGTATGAAACAAAAATGAAGACTGATGAGATGTAAAAGGATATGCATGTACTCCAGAGAGAGATAATGCTCAGGCGTCTGTTCAAGTCTGAAGCAGCAGGCTATTCCTAAGCTTCTTCACATAGAAAAGATTAAGATAAATGTGTGGAGACATTTTTAAAGCTCTTGTCTTCTTTTATTATGTTTTATTCCAGCTGGTAAGAGAAAAATATAATTTGGTGATGAGGCAATGTTCATTGTGCTTTTATCACTGCTTACTAGGAAATGGAAAAATAGTTGATCCTAAAGGCTTTGACAACTGAAATCAGCACAAGGGCTTGACTTACGAGGAGCAGTCTGCCAAAATCTGCTGGTATGAGGAAAAAGCAGGAAAACCTAACAAGCAGAATGCTGTACAAGTAAAGGTGACTCAAGACCTTTAAACTATAGCCCATGATTCAGTATTAGTGATTAAGGCAATGAGCAGAGTTTAGTATATTTTTACACAGTATTTACTGATACTCCAGGCAGCTTAGTATAAAAAACTTTAAGCCTTCATTGGTGGACCATTTTACTCAGGGTAGTTTATCTGCTTCATGGCTGATCTGTAAAGGTGAAGTATTAAGCTAAGACAGGTCTAACTCTTCCAGTTATAAAGATAGGTCATTTAAGAGTAAACTGCTTTAAGACAGACCTTGACAGCAAACGGACCTTACTTCACAGAGAAACACTTTGATGGAGAGGGCATACTTTAAAATCCATTAAATGGTGTGGGAATGATTGGATAAAAATATTTAAGGAGCTTAACCTCCAATCTGTGTTTTCAGAAAAGACTCATGAAGACATAGATTTTTGAAATCATACATAAGAGACTCCAAAAAATATGATACAGTCATGAGGAAAGTGATCTGAAGAATATTTTTGAAAGTAATTAAGTGGAAGACCTATGTAAATCAAAGATATTTAGCATTTTTTAAAGTATGAAACTGATTTTCTTCATACTGTCTATGCAGAATAGGAAGTATCCTGCAGTTGCCAACATACCAGATTTTGCAGAGGCCAAAAATAGAAAACAGTTACTTCATACACAGACTAATGGAAAAGAAGAGAGGATTTGTGTCTATGAAGTTAGTATACAACACTTTTAGAAACCAGTATGTTTCTCAGAAATGAAACACTGGTTTGCACCAACAGAAATTAAAAGAAATTCCACTAATCAAGACTTTTCATTATACAGATAAGAAAATGCTGTGTACTTGACAGAACTCAGAAAAGTAGTTGGCCCATTTTATGACAGGCTTAGTTTTCCTTCTAATCAAGTGTAAATATTGAATTTAAATGTGATTCTGAATCAAAGAAAGAAGTAAAGGAAAGATTTTGGAAATGGAATGCAACAAGAAGTTAGATGACACAAGACGCTGTTGGCACTGACACAAAGACAGTGCTAGCCAGCATCAGAAGCAGAGCTAATACTCTTGCCACAAGAAAAAAAAAAAAAAAAAAAAAAAAAAAAAAAATAAACTAAAATAAATTTCCCGGTTCACAGAAAAAAAATTTTCCCCAAAAAAAAAAAAAAAAAAAAAAAAAAAAAAAAAAAGCTAGATGACTCTCTCAGTTCACAGGAAAGTAATAGGCTTAGTGTCAAGTAGACTGGGTTTCCCTATCAGTCATCAGCCTGTATGACAAAGAAAGGAACTTTCAGAGACTAAACCGCATGACTACTTAGATCCAACAATCACAACAAGCAAGATTAAGGGTTTTTTTACATCCATGGAGATATCACACCCTACTATAACACTCCACAAAGAATGGCAATTAAAGAAAACACTGTGCACAACACAAACATGTTCGTCTTATCCACAATGCACAATTCATAATGCTGACATAAAGAGATGATTCCTCGCTTTGGTGGGGGCTACAAGAAGAAAACAATACAGAAAAGCCCTCCAGCTAAAAAATAAATCTCTCTCCTAGCTTTTTGTGTTGTTCAATATGTAAAGATTGCATTTTTTTTTATCTGGTTCTCAAACTGGAAGGAAAATCTGACTCCCTTTCAAATAAAGAAAAAGACTAATAAAGATTTATGTAGTATTTGTCCCCATTTACACCTAATATGTAACTCTTTGAAATTTCTTTCAGTTATTC